AAACAATTTATAAAAAAAAATATCCACATATGCAACCTGTATGCAAATTAAAATAATGTAAAACTTGTAGGTAAATAAAACTTTTAAATGTAAATTGATCAAGTAAACTTAGTAAAGTGGTAGGAAAATACATGTTAATTATTGTAATCTTGTAAAATATGTACCCTGAAGAATAATATTTGGGTCATATTCATGCACAAGAGCTTGTGAACAAACCAGCCTGCAAATATAAAATAGTGTATAAAATATAATTAAAATTGAGGCGTCAGTGGCCGCAACGGTTTAGGCGTTAAACCGGCGCTCATCACTGTAAGGTTGAGGTCCCGGGTTCGAATGCAGGACCGTTGGACATACTTAGAAATGTGCTTTTTCTCAAAAACACCGGCACCTCGAGAGTGGTTAGAATGAGAGACTCTCACGCCGCGGTCGTGGGTTCGATTCCCACCGTCGCCTCTGGCCCTTTTTTCTCGATAACCCCCCCAATTTGAACACACATATAAGAATTGTCACCATGGCTAATATGCATAGATCAGAAAAAAAAAAAAAAAAAAAAAAAAAAAAACGGCACCTCGAGGGTGATATAACCTCTGCTGTTGCAAACCCTCGTAAAAAAAAAAAGAAATTATTAAAATGTATTCATAGTAGGTAAAAATGGTAAAATTTTATGCCCTATCAAGGGTCTCAAAACGATCGTGCTAGTGTGCTATTTCTTGAACTCCCCTCCAAACGAAATGTTTGATGATGGCTCTACGCGATGGCATGACTTAGTGCTCACAAATGATAAAAATTGAAGGAACAACTGAACAGATAAGTCAACAATAAGAATCGGGGTACAAGTCTTTTATTTCGTAAACCATTTTAAGATTAGGCTAAAAGTTTGTCGCTAATAATGAAATCGCTTACAAAAATCAGAACGGATGAAACAAGTTAAACTAGTAACGGAAATGCCAAAAAGATGGTCATAATAGAATAAAATTAAATTTGATCAAACTATTTCCAAAAAGGCACTTTTAAACACTTTTTGTTTTGTTTTATGTACTTATTGTGTAGTATCATTTTTATGAATATTTTCTGCCTGCTTCTGACAGTAATTACATGCAATATATACATCATAATGAAATATTACAATGTAGGCCATCTACGCTCAGAAAAGCATTACATATTAGAACACATTGGCTTCGCCAATTTCTGTTGATTGATTATTGCCGTATGGAAGTAAATATGTTTAAGGGCACCTCTTCATAAAGCAATGCACGGCTGGGCTTCGAGGACTATTTGGTTGATTAATTAATGAGATGTGGATTTGATTGTGAACACAGAAAGCAATATACGTTTACGTTAGCATGCAAATTTCTCACTGCCGATTTTGATAAAATTTTGAGGATATGTCGCTGAAAAACTGATCATAGTTTTATGAACTCTTGTTATGAAAAATACCTCCAAATAATATGAGCTCTGATTCTTTCTGAACCTATTCAGAAAAAAATGCTTGTCCGTTTGTGAAAGGAAAATGTTATACAATGAATAATTAATAGAAAAGGCAAATTTTACTTATAAAAAAATTGTAAAAGTAAGCTTATGTTTAGAGAAATATATAAATAAGAAAGTTATGTCTATGTCAATTATAAATACAAATATTTTATTTGTTTGAAATACCTACATACATTGTCCAATTATGTACATATTTCGCCATATGTCTACTTCCTGGGAAAATCCTAGGTTTATAAACTCCTAACCAACTTATTTGAACAACTACCTGAAAACTCCCACGGTGGATTTGTCGTAAACAGGAGAAACTTGCTTTTTCTAAGGATCGGGTGTCACTCTGTGCGAGCAGGTATTCCAAGAGCGAGTGCATCGGCGATGGGCATCATCACCTGCAAAGCATGTGTTTCGTGTGGGAAACCCTTTCTTTATCCCTGATAGGACCCAGGTCAGGATATCTGACAGACGTCCGTTTCTCACAAACCGACCGGACGGTTTATCCATCTGTGACTATTCCGAATAGGGGCGGAATGGCTATTAGTATTATAAAGAAACTTGTTTTTGTTTTACATTTATGACCTTAACAACAAGTATTAGTATGAAGTTTGTTAAAAACAAAGTGTGTTTTTTAATTATTAGATGTTAGCCTTGATTAGTTGTATTTATTTTGTACTATTTACTAGCAAATATATTTTGTATATAAAATCAGTTTTTGTAACAGCTTAAAATTTGCTGAAGCGTTTGTTACAACGTGTTTATTATTGTATTTTATATTTATATACAATATATTATACAGCATTATTACATGTGTTGTATGTAATAGAAAAATGGTGCACTTTTTTATTGCAACAACGGTGTTATTATTCGATTCCTGATAATTCGACACACAAGGGACAAAAATAATTCGAATTTTTCGATTAATTAAGGTTTTTAGTTAAGATAAAAAGTCAGTGTCAAGAGCGGGATTCGAACCCATGACCTTCGGCTAAATACGCCGCTGCTCTACCACTTGAGCTATCGACTTGGATCCACTCGGACACTAACATCCCATCTCAACCCCACCTTTTGAATTTTCCCTCCTTTTGCCATTATCTAGCCGAAGGGCGTGGGTTCGAGTCCCGCTCGTGACACTGACTTTTTGTCTCAACTAAAAACCTTAATTAATTTAAACATATTAATTGGTCAAGCAGACCACGAAAACTAGTGAATTTAATAATTCGAATTATCAAGAGTAAAGAAAAAAATTGTTAAGTGTTGATATGCATTTTTCCAAATTATTACTTATATTGTACATAGAAACATAGTATAAATAATGAAAAAGAGGAAACAGATCAATTGTAAAATTGAACATTTTTAAGCATCATTAAAAAAAAATCTTGAAAAAGTTTTGCTTTGACCTTTGTTAAAATGATTTTTCAGTGTCAAGTGATGTGGACACATTGACAAAACACTGACCACAGAACATAACAAACTAGAGAAAACTCGAACAAACTTTAGGCTGAAAGTGGAAATTTAAAGGAATATAACAAAGAAAAAGTGTAAATTATAAATATGAGAAGTGGCTCCATTTCAAATTATAGCATGTTTTTTTTCACCCTGTTACTAAAAATATTTCGTATTGCCGAGTTCCAAAATGCTCAGAATTTTTACGATTAGCAGAGTGACCTGTTGAGGGGTGTTACTATCAAGAAATTTGAATTAATAATTTTCGAATTGACAAGAGTCAACCGTATTTGTTAGTAATTACATTTGTTGTGTTTGCTACACCTGAACATGTGTTTTCTACAACATGGTCGTTATATGGTGAACCTGCCAGAGCTATTTTTATTTTCAAATGTATCTGTTTTTATCAGTACAAAGTTTGTTGCAACAAAGTGTGTTTTGTACTTATTAGAACAAACTATTTTTTTAAATTTTATGGAGTAAAAATTATTTTATATCCCTAGACCATAATGTATACTGTATTTATTATAACAAAGGTATTTATTTTTGTTGGCATAAAATTTGTTTGGGTTCGTTAAACCTGAACCAGTTTTGCGTTTACTACAAGTTATATTGTGTACTTGCCAGAACTATTTTTGTTTATATATCTGTATTTATTTGCATAAGGTTTGTTACAACAAATTGTTTTGTACTTATTAGAACAAACGTATTTTTTTGTTTCATTGAGTAAAATTTGTTTTATATTCCTAGACCATAATGTATACTGTATTTATTAGGTATTTATTTTTTGGCGTAAAATTTGTTTTGGGTTGTTAAACTACACACTTATATGTACGTTTCGTGTTTTTACATAAACATGTTTGTATTTATTGCACAAAAATTGTATTTTGAATTTTAATAGAGTAAAATTGTGTTGTATTTATTGAATCAATGTGTGCGTTGTATTTATTACAAGAAAGGTGTTTTGTCTTTGTTGGCATAAAACGTGTTTTGGGTTTGTTACACCCGAACTTTTTTTTTTACCACAACAAATTGTATTTTGTGCTTACCTGATCAATTCTTTTTAATCATCACAAAAATCTGTATATATCCTGATGAAGTAGTACATAACTGAACAAAAGAAGATTCATTTTGTACCTTGGTCCATATAAGTTTTCAAGAATACACTGCATCATCACCTTTCTACTTATTTTAAGGTCATTGACAAAATTTTAATTGTATATTATTTAAGAATATTTTACCCTGAGAATGAACTTTAATAGGTCGAAAGCTTGGCGGTAACTGCTGAATTGACTTTCAGATCATATCAGAATGCTGATTATTCGTGAGTAAACAAGCGGCCCATATTTCTAACACTTAAAATAAACGTTTTCTAACTTTTTATCTTTCTGTTATTTGTTCTTATTTATTGTTATACACTTTAATAGTACAGTTTATTCTGGATAACTCGAATCTCAGGGGGAAATTTCAAAATTCGACTAATCGAGGTTCGGGGTATTGAACCGGCTAATCCACTCGCAGAGTCATACTTGACCCTATTTTTTAAAATTGTGGATAAGGTGTTTGGCGGTATGCCGAATTCTTTGGCGATGTCGCCCTTTTTCTTGATGCCTTCATCTACCGCCTTAATAATCTTACTTTTCTCCTCCACGTTTAACGTCTTATATTTTTTTTTGTATAAACAAACACATAAACAAAACAAACTGGAAAAAAAGGACTGCCCGAAAAGCGTGAACTGTACTAAGCATTGTCGTGCTGGACTGTTTAGGGAACGGGAGAAAGGAGTAAATCGAGTAACGAAATGCCGCTGGTCGCCTGGGCTTACAAAGAAAATTCATCTAGTCGAGGTTTTCTTTTCGAAATGTTCGTCTTATATAGGGGGATGTGGGAACACATTATAGGTAAATGAGGGAGATTTTAAAAAAATCGAGTTATCAAGGAATTCCAGTTACAGATAGTCTATTCTATGATTATAGGTTTGTTTCGACGATCACTTTTTTCTTTACATCTGAAACACATATGTTTGTATTTAGTGTAAATATTTAGGTTTTTGATATTAATGTTTTGTTTTTTCATGTTAAGGCTTGAAGGTCCATAAACACGCAATTCGGTCGTTTCCGATTATTCTGATCTGCTTAATGTCGCTGTTTTTGTCTGTCGGCCCTCCTTTTGGATTATTTAACTTACTTAAAAGATTAGAGTTTTTGTACAAGTGAATTTTACCAGTCAAGTGCTTTTCTTCAAAAGAACAAGAAAGCAGGCCGGGGAGTTCAAAATAAACCGATAGCCTGATGTAGAGAATGGAAACCGAGTCATTTCGGTTCCGAAAGCCCGGATTCCAAGGGCAATGGCTTTAGACGATTCTCCGTGACATAAAGCTAACTATCTAGGACAAACTAACTGGTGGGTAAATGCACATATAGGTAAAAACCGGCACAAATGATTCCCGTTAGTGATCCAAAGTCGAGCCACGTTGCAGACGTGAACCAGGTCCCGGAGCAATAATCACGTCGTTAGAGCCTTCTACAAATCTACATTCATTCTCTCTCTCCCTCCGATTCTTTATTTTTCTATTCGTATCTGTTCTTCGGGTCGAAAAAGTACCGTATTAGAAGCACCATCAATACAATGGCTTTCTCTTCTGCAAAGCACTTGATCCACTTTCACGGTCATTTGGCCAATTGGTGCCTTCAAGCACGGATCCGTAGCCTTTACGATTCCCTTCGGCGAAGGACATGAGATGGGGTTTTTTCTCGATAATAGCATTGCCACCTCGCAATCCAACGGATTGAACCAGTCGCTTCCATCTGGAAAATCAAATTGGCTAACGATAGTTGAAGGTGTGTATTTAAACCTATAAAAATAAAACAAATCGTTCGTCTTTTTCTGCCCCAAAACCAAAAATAACAATACACATTGACAGACCTATATGAAAAAAAAAACTCTAATAAATAGGCCGAATATATTTTTATTTCCATTTTTAGGAAGTTCTGAAAACAAAATATTCTATATACCAGTATTAGCAGGTTAGTTTGGAAATAATTTAAGTTGTTAAAGCAAGGTTTTTAATAGAATTTATCTAAGAAAATGCAAACTAAAATTACATGCACTTAGATTTATAATAATTTTTAAAATTAAAAATTGTAAGTAAATTAATAAATATCTTACTAAGTAGCTAAACAAATAGATTATTAATTTATTTATTTAAACATTTTATCTTTGCTTTACAGGGAATTTTGTAGCAAACTTGATCGTATGTACGCATTAATTATATTTCATATAATTTTTCATTAACCTTATTATTCAGATATCGTGAGATGCGGTCTGGTGTGATGTAGGTTTCAGAAAGACATTTTCTTTATCGTGCCAACGTTTCGATCTTTATTGAGATCATCTTCAGGGCTCAAAGTGTTTGTCTTCTGCGTAGTTGTACCATTCTTGCACACCGTGGGGACTCTCAACACGACATGCAAGAATGGCACAATTACACAGAAGACAAACACTTTGAGCCCTGAAGATGATCTCAATAAAGATCGAAACGTTGGCACGATAAAGAAAATGTCTTTCTGAAACCTACATCACACCAGATCGCATCTCACGATATCTGAATAATTATCGATTAACGGTCACTAATCTCTACGCATTAACATTATTTGTTTACATAATTGTACTCGATTGGTTCCAGGCCATTATTGCACGTTTTAGTCCTCGTCTGCATTAAACATAAGAAGCATTGTGTCTTAAAGCATACAATATACTATAAGAAAAAATATATTATAAAGACCCCCAGGTATAATACAAAACAATGAATGCATTAAACACAAAAATAAATATGAACATGAATTCAATAAGTAAAGAAGGAAATGAGAATACCTACATCACACCAGACCGCATATCACGATTTCTAAATAAATATATATATATGTAATGGATACTTCTAAAGAAAAATATACAATATATCTAAATAAAAAATTAAACTGATTAAAACAATTTTACTAAAAATGTTGTTATGGAAACAATGGGGAAAATATTCAATTCAGTACGGAGTATTTCCTCCTCTTGAGTTCGTGACCGCTGTGGAATATTATCATAAATTCACTAGTTTTAGTGGTCCGTTTGGCCAATTAATATCTTTCAATTATTTTTTCATAAATCTCCAAAAGCTCTATTCTTAATTCCTAGAAATACTCTGGCATCACTGCGCGACATTTTACTCTCTTCGACGACTCGTTCCAAAGGTGTTCGATAGAGTTCAAGTCGGGACTACATGCTGCCACTCCAAACATTGAATTGTAGCCCCCTCCAAGTAGTCAACAACGATCCTAGCTGATTGGGAGGCCGTGCATTGTCATGCATAAAAATAAAACCGTCCGAAGTAAAATGGAACAACCTCTTCTGACAACACATCTTCAATGTATCGCACTGCTGTTAGAGGACCCTCCATGAAGATCAAGTTGTTCGACCTTCCTTAGAACCAACTCCTCCATAGCTTCTCCGGAGCGAAAATATTGCGGGGTATATCACTCTCCAGTTCTTCTCCAAACTTCCTCTTGGCCGTCAGAAGACCTCAAACAAAACTTTGACTCGTTCGAAAGCAAGATTTTAGTCCAATTTTGTTCAGACCAATTGTTGTGATTTCTTGCGAAACTTACCGAGGTGATGTGTGCCTTGTCAGAAGTTCTGGACTAGTGGCAGGCCTTTTCGCATGTAATCCAGCTTCTGAAAGTTTTTCACCTGACAGTGAGTTAACTGACATTAAAATTTCTAACTCCATTTAGTCGTTTCTTGATCTCAACAGCGGTAGAATGTTGATTAACGGTGTACATTCGAAACAATAAAACGATAATCACTCTGAGATGTGACAAGATGGCAATTTGATCTATGACTTCTTGAATAACCTCTGGTATCTTGGTCGCGATGGAAGGCCCTTCTGACAGTTGTTGTGGGAATGTTAAGCACCCTAGCCACATACGCTTGACTTCTTCCATCTTCCAACAATGCTATGATTCTACCCAATCAATGTATTAAACCTTCACTCAAACAAATGTGAAACTTAAAAATCGTACAAATTAAAAAAATCAAACTACCGGAACGTTAGAAAGAAGCTTTGCAAAAAAACCGACTAAGAAGATATTGAATTATTTAAAAATGCATTTACAAAATTCAATCGTAAAATAAGTGGTAATGTTGATCTATATTTTATTTACATCTGATCCTTTAAAACGGACCAAATATAAGTAAGGATGGAGGATTGTCTACGAGATATTTAAAAATAAGTTGTTTATTTTTGCTGTCCATGCGTGAACGCATATTTTTCGCAAAGACTTTTCAAGATGGACCATGCTTTTGAGCAATTTTTCCAACAACTCATTTCTTCAAGTAACTAAAATTAAGTCTGTATCATGATTGACAATGTAGGGCCTGGGTTGAGTAAACACTCTTGCTATCATTAGCTATGATTTTTCTTTTTTCAAAATATTTAAATTATCTATGTAAAGTTTTTGATAATTCTTTACGTATAGAATCAGCCCTACAGGAGGCTCATCATCAAATAAAGTCAGTTCAGCTGTAGTTTTAGCTTGCAAGGGCGATTTATTAAGATGTTAAATAAAGTTGGTCTTAGAACAGACCTTTGGGGGGACCACAGCTATTATACTCTTTAACTGTGACCTTATGCCATCAATCTGTACATAAAATTTTGTTTTCTTACGTAATTACAAATTAAATGTGTTAGGAAATTGTTATGGCATGAGTTTAAATATGAGAACTCTTTGGGAAACACAGTCAATCACTTTCTCCACGTCAATAAGTACCATCCCCATTTTGTTTTTTACCTTAACATTACAGTGAAAGTTGGGAAATGAGCAAGCAATAGCGCTTAGTGGTGAGATAAATGCTTTTCTCCAGAGATTATTGACAAGGATGGCTGTTAACTCGTCATATCCGGAGCTTTCTTATTTTTCATGTTGTTGTTATTTTAGAATTAATTTTATCTCTTTAGGTTTCCGTACATGGAGTTACTTTCTGAAAATAATCAGCTAGAACTGTAGCCTTCTTGCTCATTTCATATTAATAAGAACTAGGGGAAGAAGTATTATTTTAGAGAGGATGTGTAAGAAACTTTAATACAATAATTTGTGTGGTGATTAGTGACTGTTAATCGATATTTATTTAGAAAAAGTGAGATGCGGTCTGGTGTGATGTAGGTTTCAGAAAAACATTTTCTTTATCGTGCCAACGTTTCGATCTTTTATTGAGATCATCTTCATGGCCTGGGATGTTTGTAAATCCCAGGCCCTGTAGATGATCTCAATAAAGATCGAAACGTTGGCACGATAAAGAAAATGTTTTTCTGAAATCTACATCACACCAGACCGCATCTCACGATTTCTAAATAAATTACAGTAATTACTGTTATTTATGGTATACCAAACTTGATTGAAATAAAAACATTAAAATAATCAAATAAATTAGTAATGATTAAATAGTTAAACTTTTATTTAAAAGTAATAAATTAAATAAACGTGAAATAAAATTATAAATATTAAACTTAGAAAATTTGCCCACACCTAATAAATTATAAACAAAGAAGGGTGATATAATAAAATCTGTGATTGTTTAAATTTTTGTTGTCATCAAAAATATTTACTCTTTTATTTTGTGTTACGAAGTAATTTTTTTTTTTTGCACACATAATTACATTGTCAACTAGATATATTCGTATAATGAAGGGCGTTTTCCCTACCGAAAATAATTTCTTTTTATAATGTAAATATTAAAGTAGGGGGCTTGCATTGTCACCTTCATAACACATTTTTAGGAGAAACCTTATTAATTAATTTTTTTTCAACAGTGCTCGGATACAGGAGCCAGGTTTGAAAAGTAGGAAGGCAGAAATATTTTGGTTCTAAACAGACATTTTAATTAAGCAAAATGGAAACGCCTGCCTTCGTGGGATCCGTGTTTTTCTTTAATTAAATTGCCCGATTTATTTCAGTTTTTCTCCCTTAATTACGCCGTTCGGAGCAATTTTGTTCCAAACCAGGCGTACTAGATTTTATGTTAATGTGCAATTATTTAATAACACGTCTAAGACTTTTTTTTGATAATTTGTGTAATGGCTTTTAAAAATTATTAGTTTTTCTGTTTTCTTTTGTTTTTGTTTTTTTCAAGAACTTGAAAACAAACTAAAAAAACTAGAAGGAAATATAAAAGCTCACTTTAATTAAAAAGGCACAGTAATTAATATAGAAACAAAATAAACATACTTTCGATTTGGGCTGTTTTGATTTTTTTCATAATAGTCGGTTTTATGCTATAGTCATCTACATAAAAAGTTGCAGTGTAACTCCTAAGAAATTAGTTAGTTATTCCTTCATTTGTTTTTGAAAGGACCCGACATTTATCAACGGTAGTTTCCGTTTTGGTTCAATGAAGAACAGGTAAAGGTAAAGCTTACTTTTTTTTCTTCTTTTTTTTGAGATTCATCTTCATTCTTCATGTAAATAACCATGTGTTAAATGTTTATGGAAGGGTTTAAATAACATGTTTGAATGTCAGAAATTATTAGAAAATGTATGTGTACAATTATAAAAATATATAGGAATATTTTCAGTGTATATTCCAATAGAAATGGGCTAAGGATGTCCCTTGGCGAACACTGGATCTGATGCGAGAGTGGTCAAATCTGGTGATACCAGTATAAATGAATACCTATAGAAGAGGATGTTCTTGAATTTTCAAATCAAGCCCGAGTTTAAGGATTCATCATACACATCTAGATTAAGAAAAATGCTGCATATGCTTAAAGAAACTACTAGAACTACTAAAACTACTAGTTGTCGGCAGTAGTTCAACAACTTTGGCAATGATAGACGTATGATCAATAAGACGTAAGTATTAAATATAACAATTTGATCGTTTTTATTAGGGACATAAAATAAAATGATATTATCAAAATTAGAAAATTGGTCAACACCGATTAATTTACAACAAACCACTGGTGACATATCACATTGGGATCTTTTTCATTTTTGTTTAAGTCAAGCTAATATTAACGAATATTTATGCTTCTGATTTGTTTGTGTGTGTTGACTGTTTATGGAAGAGTACGAAAGACATGAATCAGCAAATGGATGTGTACAATTATAAAAATGTGAAGGAATATCTCCAGTGTACTTCCAACAGAACTGGGCTAAGGATGTTTCCTGGTGAACATCCGTTTTGATGCGAGAGTAAAGGTTGGTCAGATATGATATCAGTATAAAATAATACGTAAGCATAGATAAAGGTATTCTTGAAAGCAAGGTCGATTTTCAGATTTCATCTTAAACTTCCAAATCAATAAAAATAGCCAATTATCCTTCTGCTGAAAGAAGGAAACATCTAAGCTAAACAAATGAATGCAGATAATTCGGGATATCGGTAATTCAAGAATTTTGGCGAGGAGAGATGTAAGACCAATGAAAGTGTAGTTTGTGTATTTCTTGAGAACAGCGTTGTATATGTATTTCACATACCTAACGTATCATTTTTTTACGTCCGTATGTTTTGTATATCAGTCAAAGAACCGTACATGCTGACTGTTACATACAAAGGGGAGAGTGATAATTCAGGGGTGACGGTGGGATTCGAACCCACGACCGCTGGGTCTACGAACGGAGAGTCACGCTAACCACAAACCACTGTGTAACCTTGGTCCCAATTAATTTTTAACTCCTAGCTTTTGTAGGCGTAGGGTAATATGTGTCGAACATATTATGCAGTAAATGTTACTGTATGAGAAGAGCAAATATTCAAAAAAGGAA